TGTGGATCACTTGGCATGTGCTGTAGAATGAGGGTGATAAAGATTTGGGCACTGCACTTCATAGTGTTGAAGTAGTTTCCAAATCACTTGGCAGTCAACGATATATATACTCTAACCATGAGTTTATTATATACTTACGGTGTTTTTGTAAATGAAATTCTCCTCGACAGTAACATTTGAGCTGATTAATACTGAAACACAGAAATTAAGTAAGAAGTGTGCTTAACAGTGATCAATATTTGTTAGTAAAAATGCTACCACAATAGAAAATAGAGTAAGCATTTTTCCTTCAATGTCGACTATTTTCTTCATGTAAATATCATTTCACCCATGTAGTACTAATTCTAGGTGTTCAGCTTATTTTACTAGTGGGAAAATATAATCAACATGAAAGCTGAACTCAAAATTACAATGAAATTAGAAATTGTAAGCTTGTAGTCAATGCCTAACCACGGAATATTGTTGCTTTTCTTTCGGAATCGTTCACAATTGCTATAAGAAAAAAGTACCGAAAGTTAAGAACCTTCAAATACTGTGCATATATTGATTTAACTTATTTTAGAGTGGATTCTGTCAGTAGCTAACTAATAGAAACCAGAAAAGGCAAGACAACTGTTTAATCCTGCTACTGGATCTCGGTCATATGAGGTGATCTTCAGTACGGGCTACTGAAGAATCTCAGATCAGTGCTTCCTGGTTCCCAATTAGTCCCCTAACTGGTGGGTAGTTTCTGAAGGAATTCGTCTTGAAATCAGTCAGTCTAGGAAACAATAAGGATCATAGTTACTGTTCAATTTTAGATATACTTCAGTTTATGTAGACGATAGAATTCCGTATTCAGCCTCGGTATTTCAGTACTTAATGAAACAGACACTTAAAAATTGTTTTTTTCTTCCTTGTCATTGTATTAGTGGGTCAGTGATGAAGTAGGTTATTTAAACCGTCGAAAGTTGTTTAAAGGTTGAAAATAAGATAGTGTGAATCAAATAAAGCAATTTTTTTTCTCATCAGTGTACTGCCCACTAAACTGGAAGTATTTTCACAGTGTAACGTTTCAGATATATATTCACTGCCTTTCCAAAATGGTTGGTATTTAGCTATTATGAGAATAAGAAGAATGACCTTATTGATACATTAAGCTGTGATGTACCTCTTACTGATATCATCTAGTTAACTGTCAAAGAATCCTACAAGTTAGACTGTCTTATGAAACTTTTATCTTTTCATGAATCTTATAGCAGTTGCTAACATTGCTGTTCAACAACATCTTTATTCTGGACAGCATTTATAAAATGTACAGAATTTTCAGAGGAGTTTATTGCATGATATTTTCCCTTCATACAATATCTTCAAGTGAAATATTATTTGACAGTATATCCTGTGACACAATGGTCTCTGAGCTGAAGCACAAACCATTCCATTATGATATATCTGCTTTGTCTCCTTCAAGAAATCCACAATATCTAGTTGAAAGCCAATTGTAAGATGTTCAGAAGTACATTTCGAGACCCAAAGACACAACTGAAGAACAATTATCTCATGTAGTGGAACATTGCCACCCACAATCAGGCTTCTCTTGAAGTTTAGTAGGAACTTGCGAAACAGAAGCTTGTAAACATTTTAAATACACACAAGAGTAGATAATGCCATTAGAGGTCATATCTTAATCGATTAAAACAAACCGAACGAGAGAAAATCTAAGCAATAGAGAGATGTAAGTTTTTAGTAGCCCAAGTTTCAAGCGTTTTAAGTAAACAGTCTTATACCAGTTATGCTTATTGTAGAAGATAACAAAAAATGTACACAAAAGATTCAATTAATAAAAGTGAACAGCTACTTAAGACTCAGTTACTTTATGTGATAGTTGTATTATAAACAGATGGCTTCCTAAAATGAACAGATAGCTATAGGCGACCGATTTGTAAATTAAATTGCTAAATAATTCTTCTTTGTACTTTAAGTTTTGCTCATGTATATACACAGAGTTGCTAAAATTTTTACTCTTAACATTAATCATCATACACATCTGTATATTTCTTATATGTTGTACAACTGTATCATTGTTCCCTAGTGTGTTCATTTATTTCTATGACTGACAGTTTTATATCAAACATTGAAAATTATGAATGACAGTATTTGCCTAATGCACACACACACAGGACACATGCTCATCAACACTTGAAATAAATGAAAAAGGTGTCAGAGTACAACAATGACAGAAAATAGAAATATTTGATAAACAAGGAGTTCATTACTTTACACGATTCTAATTCAGATTAAAGACAAGAATTATATACTGAACGTATTGTACTCACTCTATGTTTTCTTGTGTTGTATTGCTGTTAGGAATGAGTATTATTTTGCTGAGATGTCATACACCGCTGTACTCATTTTATCTAAAGGGGGTACCTAATAGCAGTATAAATACGTGCAGTTATATACAATAATTCGTGTACCGATAGTTCAGCTATAGAATACTCACCAGCCACGTATTCAGTTGTAAACTTCACTTTACCGGTAGTAAATTCGATAAAGGGGAAAGGTTGGGCATGAGGCTAGCAACCTCACCCTCACCCCTCTAAAGACAACATCACTGCTAGTGAAAGTTCAAAGCCCGAACTTGAAGTCCTATGTTCTAATTGAAACGGGAAGGGATGGGAGACAATGCAATAATTCACACCTCAGCTTAAATTTCAAAAGCTCTGCTCTTATTTTATCTCTAGTATGTAAATTTTCCTCTGACCTAACTTTTGAATGCTGCATGTTGTCAGCACTTTTAATTTTAACCGATGGCCAATAAAATTCTTCAAAAGAATGGTTACTGAACAAAGAATATTCTTTTCGATAATCTCTCCTTCTTCATCAGGTTCTACAGTTATATATATATATATATATATATATATATATATATATATATAGCAGTGAATTAGTGTTATTAACAACATTAATGTTGTTTAAATAACATCGAATCAATAATAATAATATTATCAGTAGATTACAGTTCGATAGCACCAACAAAACAATACACTGAATATCAGAAAAACATTAGAAAAATAATAATACAAATTCATGAATTTATAGTCTCCACTGAATGCCGGCCAGGGCAATGATAGTAGCTGGACTTGCTTCTTCTGAACACAAAGCACTGATTGTTTCAGGCGAATCGTGATAGCATCTGATGTTTGGAGTATGCAGTACCTCGATGTTTTTGGCAATTTGTTTGGTACCCGACAGATGATAGAGAAGGATTCTTCAATGCTGGCTTTGTGGCCGGTTTGAACCAGGTAGTCTAATATCGAACTGTTGATGGTTTTTACTACACCTTTACTTAGCCACACTGGTAGATGTTCCCGAGTGAGCACGAAAAATCAAGTCTCCTAGAGCAACGGCCAATATAACTCGCTCCACCACAAGTGCAGTTGAATTGGTAGATACAATTAGAAGTGGCTAGTCTAGGTACTTCATCTTTCAACCGAGGAATCACCATTGGTCGTGTAAAGAATAAAACTTGTAGTTTACCAGCATTGAAAGTTCTTTGAATAGATTTTCTTAACTTGTTAGTAATTATTTCACTAGGTGTGTCACCCTTGAATTGCAGTCCTATATATAAAGGCTTCTTATTTACAGATGGAGAATAGTCCTTTTCTGCTTTTTTGGTCATATGTTTCTTAATGAATTTTTCTGGAAAGCTATTTTCAATTAGGGTGTCATATACAATCCTTAGTTCATCTTCAGTTACCTCTTCTGAGCATATAGCTCTAACCCTGTGGATGAGGGTCCTTACTAAATTTCTTTTGTACTGGAGAGGAACGAAGCTATGAAAATGTGTATATTGTCCTGTCCATATGCTTTTCATATGCAAATTTCTCCTAACACTACCATCGAGTTTTCCTGTAACGAGGATATCTAGGAAGGCAATTCTATTTTGAGATTCCTTTTTGCACGTGAATTTCATAGCAGAATGTACTTCATTGAATTGAGTTATTATTGTGTTCCTATCCAAATCATTATCACAAATAATAAAGATGTCATCCATTTACCGGCAATAAAATGAGAATTTTCTAATAAGGTTCTTCAAAATAGTACTTAATTAATCCCGTGAATGGTCATTATTACATTTTAAGAATGAAATTAGTAAAAGCACTGATAGAGCTCACAGTGTTATACAATATTACTTACTGATGACGTTTCGAGCACAATTTACTGCTCATAATCATATCTTCACCTTGATATATGTGTGTGAGTGCCTTGATATGATTATGAGTAATAAATTGTTCTGGAAACGTCATCAGTGAATAATACTGTGTAACACTGTGAGACCCTGTCAAATAAATTCACTGTATGATGCATTTATACTCTACCAAGTTCTGTTCTTACATAATCGATAGAATTATTTGTAGCAGTTTAAAGCAGTACAACCTATGACGTATTTTCGAACCTGGGGATTGCGTACTGATGAAGAATCACAAACTAGGACGAAACAGCCATATATTACTCCTTGGTTTTCAATGGTTCTTTAACTGACGTCAATCCGTGAACAAATTCACAGTAATTCTATCTACCAAGAACTGTGTAAATAACCTTTAAACTTTATTTTAGAAAATAATCTCTCTATAAGCTTTCGAATTTCACTCCTTCAGTTATTTGTACAGTGCGTCGGTGGGACAGTAGTAGAATGCTCGCCAACCACGCAGGCGGTTCATGATTCGATCCCCGGCCGATGCACTCCTTTATCTCGCTAAGCCAGTTATACGAATGGTAAAGAGGGAAGGTTGGGAATGAGACTAGCAACCCCATCCGTAAAAAAAAACACCACTGCTACCGAAACTTTAAGGCTGTAGCTTGGAGCCCTATGTTCCACTGGGAACGTAAAGGAATATAAAAAAACCAGTTATTTATACCTAACTCATACTGAATGAAGCAGATTAACAATTTGTAGAAAACATATTCTCAATTAACTTAACCAAAAAAAATATATATTTACTCTTTACTGTTTTCAGGTCATGTGTCTTGTTTGTCATAAAGTTATGACGCAAAGAAAACTAGATACAATCAAGCGACACACTGTCAGAAGACATGCAGAACTATTGAAAATGCCCGAGTCAGACAGACAAGAATTATTTGATCAGTTATTCAAGCAACATAATAATAATAATACGCTTGGAGATTCAAATACAAATTCATTAACTAATGAAAGTAGTAAAATCCATCAAAAATCTGGTGATACATGTAAATCTAGTTCCAAAAAGAGTTCACGTAGTAGCATGTCAAACATACAGGGGTCTAGCGAAGCCTCATATAACCTCTCGAATCATGCTCCACGTTGGTCTAGTAACAAAGTGACTGAAACGACATCTGTCACAAACTTAAGCGGGTCCAACAGTATTCCATTAAAAGATTCCATTCCTTCTCATTATGTGCCGCACAAGAGAGAATTTTGCAGTAAATCGAGCCAGATTTCTGATGCACCACCTGAACATACACGAAACTTCTTCACTGATAAAGGTAGATCATCCTCAAAGATACCAATAGAAGAGATGATTGATGAAATTTTGAATAAATTACCAGTTGACTTGAGAAAACAATGGCAGGACCACCTAGAATTGACTGAAAATATACCTACTAATCGATTTCTGGGTTATAAAAATCACCAAGACAGTTCTATCTATCCGAATTCATTTCAAAAAGAAATTGTCAATAGGCATCAACTTACTCCTGAATCATCAGTACCAACTACAATAATTTCGTCACCGATTTCATCAAAGATTTCACCTACTGACTGTTCTTCTCATCCTCCTATTTCTTACATCACACCTCATATTCCCAAGCTGGAAAATTCTCCAAAATCATTTGCTACAACAAATTATAGACAGAGTGAACTGTCCACACAGTCGTCACCAATACCATTATTTTTATCCCCTGAACCTTATCCAAACATTCATAATTTAGATGACATATCCAACTTTGAGAAGATTAATCCTAATGTACATAAAAATTTTAAAAATAGAAATAGTGATCGAAATAATTTTACAGCAAATCTCAACCTAAATTCTACAGATCAAGCGGTCAGTTCTTCCAGTAGTAAAAGTAATCATAACAACAGTGTGTTGTGTTCCGATTCTCAGTGCAATTCAATAACAAACCATTTCATTGATGACTTTCAAAAGACTGTGCAAAACAAACCTTCAGAATCATTATTAAATAGAGTGGATTTTTCTCTGAATCAAACGTCTGCTCCACAGACTTCTATGTTTTCAAATGTAAGTCCATATTAAAATCTCTCATAATGTTTATTATATTTGGTATACTGGTTATTGATTTTAATGCTATACAGATGTAGATATCAACGAAACATCTTTGCTTGAATACTGGTCATGCAGAGGTCTATTTATATGTTCAGAAAGTTAACCTGATGATACTTATGCTATGGACACCAAGTCTGAAAACCGTCCATAAAAATATCTCAATCATTTATTCGTTGTGTCATACTCTGAGAAAACAACATCATCAAGTGACATCACATGACAGGCCCTCGAGTGGAACCCGAATGGGAAGCGGCGAGTTGGTCGTCAGTTCGAGGGTGACATGGATGAGGTCATGTGAAGAGGAGATAAAAGCATGTGGGCAGACGTGGAGCCAGGTGAAAACGTTGATGGAGAACCAAACGCAATGGAGACGTGCGGCTGAAGCCCTACGTTCCTCTAGGAACTAAAGGAAATAATAATGATATATAAAAATAATTTATTCGTTGTGGGAATAACAAATTGACAGAATACAACGGTTGTTTACTGCACTAACTTCTTTGTAATACGATAACGGAATGAACTTAATTTCTCGATTTTGACAATCAACATTCTCCCAGTACAACCTAAGTTAGTTACCAATTCATCTCATTTGAAGAAGTATAGCGTAACCAATATGTCTAACAAATGTTTTTATTTTTTATTTAAATATCTGGTCATAAAGCCTTTCAACTATATAGAATTTAGGATTCTTCGATGAAAGTCATATACACTGAACTGAAATTATGATTGAACTTCGTATCTTTTTTATTATTTGTTATTCTCTTGGCTTCTGAGCAGAACATAGGGTTTCAGTAGGACATCTCAATTTCGCTGTATTTTGTGCACTCCTCTTCATCTGGCTGCACGGTTGCTCCTCATCACAAGGCCTTCAGAATGTCACCCTTGGACTTCATCCCAACTCGTCGTTTACCCATTCGGGGCCAGTATGGCATACGATGCCACTCAACGGTCTCCTCAGCTTGTGTCTGAGCCATCTATATTTTTGCTGGTTGGACTGTAGGTTATTGATTGGTTCGATCTCAGAGTTTCCAGCTGGCCAACTGATCCTCAGTTAGCACCATGTTTCTGATCCATATAGAAGAACTGACCTAATATCAGTGTTGAAAATCCATATTTTATTCTTTATGCCGACTGCATCGAATTTCCAAACTGATTTCAGGGTGATGAAGGTCTAGCCTGCCTTTTCGATCCTGGTTTTGATGTACTCATTCGTGTCGTCCGCCTGTAGATGAAACGATGCTGTTTAGATAAATGAAAGAAGTGACCTCTTGATCTTAGTACATGTGGCATATTTATAGTGATTCGGCAAAACAGGAAACTGAATAAATTAATCATGCATAAAATCAAGCCGTAAATTAAGACAGATTTAACATTGTATGGAGTTTCATCATGAGCTGACATCAGTTTTAACATTACTGACGACTTCATGACGAAGAGCATAATTTCTGGCAACTTAAGACCCTTGCTTGGTTTGCCTGACCTCCAATTTCACATGGTAGTTGTTACTATATAATATATATTGGACCTTATCTTTTGATTTCTGCGTACCATTAGTGGTTTTGATAAAATAAGACGACACAGCTTCAATATTTCGTTTCTGAAGCAGAACAAAATTAGTCCTCGAAGACGATTTTCATCACTAAAGTAAATAAATGTGTAGGATTACACATAGATTGTGAAAATATTTGATTTTTGGCTCATTTAAATTGGATGAATAAAACGAATTAATTTCCAGTGGTACACATTCATGAACTTAAAAGGTACTGAACACAAGAAGTCGAGCTATAAGACTAGTTGGTCACTATTCAACAACTGAGGTTTAATTCAGCGGCTCATGATTTACAACCACTGTCAATATGTAATATATTTCTATTGTAGTATATTGACCAGCTGTTTGACTCCAAGGCTGTATTACTCCTGAACCACTGTCATCTCTGAAGCATTCATGAGAAAAGTCTCTTGCTTAGACAGAACTTAGTTGTCAAAGATATTAGTTTGTCATGAGATTTGCTTCAGTGTCAGCCAAATCCTGACAAGCCTAACAAATGAGTGACGGCTTATATACCAGCCTGTGTCACATATATGTAATGTTTTATTACGATTATATAGTCGTTCCAGGCATATTGCAAAATACTATCAGAGGAAACTGATCAGATATGTCCCTCTTTATCTTCTTTTTCTATCAACAGATCACTGGTACTACAGAATCACAAACACTTATGTTAGCCTCATGGTTTACATCTCTAATGAATGCAGCGAAAACTTCAAATCAAACAACTTATGAAAAGATTTCTCCAAACTTATTTAAACCAATATGGAATAATCTGTCATCTATGGAAAAACCTTCACCACTTTGTCAGCAGTTCCCAAATTCCGAGCTTTTCAATGCGAATCCATGTGATTCTTATACTGTCCTTCCACCAGCCTCGTATTTAAAGCCAAATACAGATTCCAAAGTTAATTCAGAAGGAAAGGAGACCATAAATTCGTGTAAAAAGAATTCAGATTCACAGTCAAGCGTGAATTCAGATTTAAACAAGTTTACGATTTCATCGTTATTGAGTACAAATTCAAGTGAGACAACAAAATCGATAGCTACACCAAACAAGGAGAGTAATCATCCTCAGTCTGACATTTCAAATAAACAAAACACCTCCAATTGCTGTAATAACACCAGTTCTGATGACAGACATGATGACATCTGTAAAACGTATAAGATGAAGTCTATTTCGGATTATTTCGAAAGCCTTTTCTATGGGTTTAGTGAGAAGAAACAGGAGTGCTCACCTGATATTTTAGATCAGATTCGAGCATACAAACTAAATATAGACTTGTTAACTAAGTTTTTAACAAAACAAATTAATGGACATTATGATTTCACGGAAATACGTGATCCATTTAATTGTGAAGAACTGGAGGCTAAAATAAGACAATACACGACCAATGAATTCCAAGCAGAGATTTTCAATAAAGAGAGTCAAAAGCCATCTAAACTTCCTTATATCCAACATAGTCAAGATCTAGGCACAGTAGAAGCTTGTATGAAAATTTATTACTCTGAAATGTTTCGGAATCAATTCAATGGTCTTCAAATGAATTATCATTCCAATTATCAGCCACCAGCAGCTGGGTGTATTTTGGTTGAAGGACAGAACAATTTTCGTCCTAAAATTAATACAGATATATAGCTGAGAATATGTATATACTTGTTTCAGATCCAACCACTCGTATCTACTTAAAATATCAAGAAGTAAGCTAAACATTTTTATTATTTTGGTTGTGATATTTAATTGTATGGACTGAACGAAATTTAGGTATTCATAGTGTGGAAAATTTAACCAAATGGATGACTTGATTTCGATTATTACCACAGATGCCTAATTAAGACATTAAATAGTTTGTTGGATGGTGACTAGCAGTGGAATCCAGGAAGTGCATTATATTCTATTTGAGACTTGTCAGATGGATGTGTCTGCACTCCCCAGTGGTTGATGGTGTTCCCACAGAGACTCGAACTCAGTATGCATCGTTTCAAACTCCAAAGTGTTATACAGAAGACCACCTGGGTCATGAGAGCCACCTATTATGCAATGGGCAGCAGTTATTATTTGTTTTGAATTCAATTTTGAATTTTAAGTATTCGTTTGTAGGGATTTGATTAAATGGTTACTGGATTTCAGCATGAGTTGATATCAGTTAGAGAACCATTAGAAAACCAGCTGGGATTACTGGACATCTGTTTCGCCCTACTTTGAAACTCTTCGTCAGTACGCACCCACCAGAATTTACAACCCGTAGGGTGAAGCAGGTCGGGTGTGAGGACTAATACTCGCTAGCGATGAAATTCGCTGGTGGTCTCCCTATGTCGTGGATTGGCAGAAGTTAGAATTCATGGGTTGACCACGGGATCGGGTTCTAGTGATTTCATGGTCTACGAGCTCGCTAGCTTTGTCAACAGAAGGTCCTAGGTTCTCATCCTGGTGGTTGATGTGTACTGATGAAGAGTCCTAAAGGCGAAGGACGAAACAGATGTCCACTACTCCAAGCTGGTTTTCCAGTAGTTCTCTAACTGATGTCAGCTCATAATGAAATCCTGTAATCAGTTTTGATTTCATACATTTGGTTCCCTTGATAGAGAAAGAAAGACCAAATTTGCAGTATAAAATTATATCATTCTATTTCACAGGTTCTCATGATCTGCAAACTACCTGAAATTACAATGGTTATAAACAATGACGTTTCATATATCAATGTTTGAAAGGTAATAGAGAAAACATTATAAGATGAACGCATCCAAAATATAAGTAATACAATTTTTAGCTCAAGTTGTAACACTTATGTTTCAGATGCGTTCGTCTTATAATGTTTTCTTTATTATTTTTCAAACAATGAAGTATGAAAAGTCATTATTTACAACCATTGTAATGTCACCTAGTTTGAAGCTGATGAGAACATGTGAAATAGAATGATGGTATCATTTTATACTGCAAATATGGTCTTTCTTTCTCTACCGCAATTTTGATCTGTTTTCCATTGACTGGTAGGGTCGAGATGTTCTGCCTGTGTTCGAGTCTCAGTGAGAACATCATCACTCACAGAGTAATGCAGGTACATCCAGATGACAAGTCCTAGGTAGGACGAAATGTTCATCTTCTATCCCACTGGTAATTACTACCCATCACACTACTTCAAGTTAATTCTCTGTTGAAGCTTTCGTACTAAGAGCTGACATATCAACAGAGACCAAACATCTCGGTCCAATCAATCGACGGGAAAATCAAAATTGAATTAAATACAAATAATAAGACATCAAATGCTGAGAAGTATTTACCTTAGTGCTTAGTTAAAATTCCCATTCATCCATATATTCATTTTCTATCAATCCTCGCCAAAAGCTTTTGTTTCAGAATAATTCAAATACTGTTAGTTGTCACAGGATGATTGGGGGCAAGGATGATAACAAAGTATTAGCAGTCTAATATGCCTTGAATAGCGGTCACACATTCCTTCGTCAACAGCTCGGTTTCATCTTCAGTAGGGATTTCAGAAACAATTATCCAGATAATCCAGAAGAATAATATCTTAATAATTTCTAAATCTAATAACCGATAAATGTTTCAACAACCGTATTCGCTTCAATTAAACCTTTGTAAGATAAAAATATGGATTCAGAATTATGAATAGCTTTGTAGCGGTCTTTGAGCACAGTGCAAGCTTATTCATCGAATAGACTTACAGACCTAATCAAAAATTAAATGATAATGGTTGTTTTATCCTTGTATTTTCCAATGAACAAAAAGACAGAACAATATTCTTCGCATTACATGTGAAGTTTCAAGTTTGCTCATAGACTGATTTCAGTTAGAGAGTCGTTGAAAACATGGAAGCAGTAAGCACCAACCTGTCATCATACCCCTAAAGACGAAGTTGCCTGAAGTCCTGGTGAGAAGTCGTGACCAGTGGAGTTCACCTGGTCGTAAGTTAGGACAAATATTCACCGATGACACTGGCTGGTGGTGGTTGCTCTAAAATAACGAGCTGGTTGAAGTTAGAATTCATGGGCAAGTGGATTGGGTCACAGCGACTGAACAGCCTACGAGCATGACTTGTAAACAGAAGGTCCTGGGTGCATACTGCCGATGAGTCCCAAACTACAATGAAACAGCTGTCCAGTACTCCTTGATCTTCAATGCTTCTCTAACTAATATCAATCTGTGGCCTAACCTGAAACATATAGGATGTAAGTATAAAACTTATGCACTGTGGTAGAGTATAACTCCATTACAGATAAGATTTTATTTCGATAAATCACATAGTGTTATACAGTAATATTAATTGATGACGACGTTTCGAGCACAAACTATTGCTCATTATCATATCAAGTCACTCACTCACACAACTTTCTTGTTTCATTTACATACATGTGTGGAATTGATTAGACATTTGAATAAAAATCAGCATAGGATAATGTACATTCAAAAATAATAATATGAGTGTTATTGATCAAATACAATCAGATGGGAAACACACAACCACACAATAGAGCGGGAGAAGGTTAAAATTCCAAGAAGTAATATAGGTAGGTGGAGAGAGAGATTGATTACTGAATCCTGGTTCATTGAGTCTTAACCCAACACATGCAACAGGAATGACTCAATGCAAATACCAGAAATATGGAAGATATTACCACCAGTCAGTCAAATCAGAGGAGGATAATAACTAATCTCAAAATTCTATTTCAATTCACGTACATCATAGCATTCTAACAAGTTACTCATTTTGACTACAAAAACATCTTATTTCCCATCTGATGGTAGTTGATTGATAACACTAATATTATTATTTCTGAATGTACATTATCCTATGCTGATTTTTATTCAAATGTCTAATCAATTCCACACATGTATGTAAATGAAACAAGAAAGTTGTGTGAGTGAGTGACTTGATATGATAATGAGCAATAGTTTGTGCTCGAAACGTCGTCATCAATTAATATTACTGTATAACACTGTGTAATTTATCAAAATAAAATCGTATCTATAATTAAACATATAGAATCCCTACACGCTAATTCTTGAGAAGTGCTGTTGTTTGTACTAGGTGAAGTTGGCAATCTTAAACCCATCCTTCCCTCTTCTCCTGTCTTATCACCAGTTAGGCGAGTTTTAGGAGTACATCAGCAAATAAATGAACACGGATTACTGATGAATTCATACTCATCAAACTGAATACAGATTATTTTGACTTTATAATAAAATTAATCCAGTACTTGAAATATTCTCATCCTGATTTACAAATATTCTCCTTTCATTTCAGTCAGTGATCATAAAAGCTTGAACTACATTTGGTACATATGCTTTTGGTGATTATATACTGCCAACGACTAAATGGGAGACATTTGGGCATAATTGTGATGATTTGTTTGATACTATGACTGACAATCTACCAACATTGAATTGACACTTCACAAGAATTGTTGACTTCGCTTCTACCTGAATTTCTCAGAGTTACATTCATCAAGAAGAAAACAAAATTTTACTTGGTATCAATACATTCACCATTTCAAAGCTTTATTTCTTCTTCGTCTACTTAATAAGTGATAGTACTTTGCATTTTCTCATACTAACAGTTGTTTCGTGTAAACTACTAACCAGTTTACAATTGTGTTGTGTGGTTACAGTTATTCACATGTAATTAACTTTCGTTGCTGTTTCCCTTCATTTTGAAAATGTCTTTTATTCACATGGACAAATGCATAATATTCTACTTTGAATAAATGTAAATATACAAATTGTACTGTATATTATAAATATAATGTATAATTATTTCTTTCTTAGTCAGTGATTTTATGAAATATATGCATATTTTTTTCTAGATTGTATCTGATTTCCCTGCCTTATTAGTTCTTACCGTCAACACTTATATGTGTGTGTGTGTGTGTAGAATTATTCGTAACAGAAATATAAAACAACCTGAGATGTCATCAACAATATCTAGATGATTCAGTGGTTAAATAATTATTCCTGCCAATTTCCCCCAGGATTTCATCATGAACTGATATCGGTAAGAGAACCATTGGAAAACCTGCAGGCGGAGAACCGGACAGCTATTTCGTCCTAGTTTGGGACTCTTCGGCAGTACGCACCCACCGCCGGGAGTCGAACGCAGGACCTTCTGGTTACAAGGCTAGCGAGCTTCTAGATCATTAAGCCACTGTGAACCGATCCAGTGGCTTGCCAGTTTACGACATGGCCCGACCACCAGCGAATGTCATAGCTAGCGAGTATTTATCCTCATACCCGACCTCCTACACTCTACTGGTCATGACTTCCCAATAGAACCCCCAGGTAACTACGTACCTGAATAGGGCCAGTCGCTAGTGAGCATCTCATTGATATTCAAGTATTGGTTTGTAGGGATTTGATTGATTGGTTACAGGATTTCATCATGAGCTGACATCGGTTTTGAACAACACTGAACGAATATATAATATCTTCTAGAATTCGAGGACTGTAAAAAGAGAAAAGAATTATATAATCACAAAAAAGTATCACTTCTCCTACGTGAATTGCTTGTCATGCTTTCTGGTAATTGTAAGAACCAGAAGACCGACTCTTAGTGATATGAACGTAGGGAACCAATCCTTGCGTTCTACTGCATAGTTGTCCGAAATTTCCCAGAGAAACACGCAGTCACAAAACACTCAAAAGACAGCAAAAAGATGATTGTTTGCAACTGGAATTTGTGTGTGGTTCTATTCAACAGTAATAACATCAAAAACTCAAAATTACCTCAACAATGCTGTTAGGCAGCTAAACAATCAATGTAAGTTTCTAAACACAAAACAAGTACTGCAGGACAAAATCAGTCAGCCAAGATTCAACTGCAAGAAGTACCTGAGAATCAAGCAGAATATTCTTAACAAGGTGGGATTAAAATCTCTGTCTTCAAGAATCATACACCAACACTTCCCGCAGACAGTCCAAGATCAGAATCAATTTTATTCACTTTAAACAGTGACATCATAAACAAGACATTATCAACCTCAAAGAGAAGAATTAAAACTAGAGATTAAACACGAACAAAGACAAACATTAAGAACCAAGTCAACATGTGATATGTAAATGTTAGAATAATGATATATAGTCTAGGAGGAAAACATCCAAATAAATATTACTATTGTCGTTCTAAGGAGGGGAGGGAATTTCTAGACAGTCATTCACTTACAGTAATTACCTTCATCTTTTCGAGCACATTAATTTTGTTCAGGCCTTAGCACTTCTCGGAATGTTTTGGCAAATGACTCCTGCTAAAGTGCTGAGTACCAGTTAGTGTATATGTCACTCTAACAGGCAGTCAGTGAATAACCAAGCAGTCTGTTAGTAAAGCTACTGATGTCAGAGGAGAGTGACGCCATTTCGAATCTCAAATGAAATATAGACTTCCAGGATCTTCAGATAAAATAGTAATTGACAGTAGATTACGTGTCACAATACAATCTGATATGAAGCGGAAATAATCCCTTATGATATCTCTTGTTTGCCTCCTCTGGGAAATGCACTACATAAATGGTTGAAAACCATTTAAAAAGGGGAGAGGAGTACATTTTGAGGTCCAAGGACATAATGATAACAACAACAGAAGACTGCAGGTAGTTTTATATCTCAGGCAGTAGCCGTTTCTAATAAAAATCTCAGGAACAGTTACCTCATGTATTGGGATATGTTGCCACCCACGACAGAAGGTTTTGGACATCTTAAACAGTCATGAGAGTAGAAGACACTATTACAGGTGATATTTTAATTGGTTAAAACAAACTGAACAAGAGAAATTATATTCAACATAATGGTGGAGGTTTCTCAATAGCCCAAGTTTTAAGCAAATTTAAGGGCATAATTGGTTTTATGATATGTTTTTGTAATTGACCGGAAACATCTAGAGAACCACGGGAGCACTGTGGGATACTTACTGAATGATTTGTGGGTATTTCTGTTTTCCTTTGTGTTGTTAAGGATTCACAATAAAAACATTTCTAGAAAGAAACTACGTTGTTTTTATTTAACAAATCTGAAAAGAATATGTCAATATTTATTTTTAGAAGTTCTTTGACTTGTACGAATTGTAGTAACAATAAGTGGACAAGGTTTCATCTAGTTCATTTATTTATATTTTTGATTTAGAAGTGTTGGTTTTCAGGGATTTAGTTAATTTCAAGTTTGATGACGAACCGACTTTATTTAAATGACCACGGGGTACTGGACAGTTGTTTCTTCCTAGTTTGGGACTCCTCATCAGTATGTACCTCCCAGAATTCAATCTCAGAACCTCCCGGTCACAAGTCAAGCTACTGCGACCTGATACAATGGTCCATGAGTTCCAACTTCTACCAATTCGTGGTATTAGCGCGATCACCAGTTAGTGTCATCAGCGAGTATTTATCCTCACGCGCGACCTGGTGGACCCAACTGGTCGCAACTTCTTATAAGAACTGCGGACAACTTCGTTTTGTAACCTTGCGTTGTAACCGGAAGGTCTTGGGTTCGAACCCCGGTAGGTTCGTACTGCTGAACAGTTTCAAACTGGAATGAAACAGCTATCCAGTACTCCTTAGTTTTCCAACCGTTCTCTACTCGTGTCAACTCTACTATAGTTTCACACTGAAAAACTGCTTACAGTATGAATTTTTCGTTAATACTCTAAGTGTCGTAACTGTTTAATTCCTCTAAAAGGAATTCCCCACCTATTTGTTTAAATAGTAATTAATTAAGCCAGTACGTTCATTAAACTACACAACGATAACTGTAACTTCCATAAATTGAAATTACCCACACTCTAGTTGTTCATTTTCAGGGACCAACATCAGTATTATTTATAATTGAGGCTTATTTAACACCAACATACCAAATTTTCTTCCGGCAAAATGATTTTCAGAAGTGAAAATTCTTAGTTGTTCTTCATCCGCGAATATTTTACTTCCCTCTTCCCCCTCCCCCCCCCACACACACCATCACCATCGGCAGAAATTTCCCAACAAAACTGTTTTTTATCCTACTTATTCATGCTTGAAAGGAGAATAGAATTTAGACAGGTGAAGTGAATTATTACACATTCTTTATATTAACAAAACATGTCAAAAATATTATTATTATTATACATGTCATATTTTCTGAAGACATCATCCTTGTTATTCTACTCACTTAAAGTATCAAGGCATTGGAGTATCTAATTTCTTTGAAAAGATGAAGTTTGACTTGGCAAAATACTGGCAAAGTTAATCAAGGAGGTAATTTTGTTGATGTACATTGAAAAAAATGTTCATGTAACAAACATAGACATTTCCAGCTTATTGTACATTTCGAACTTTCTCATCACCGCATTTTCCTACATCGTCCACTTAATACATACTGTTCACAGCTCATTTATTCTATGCATTGATGTTTTGCATGTTTACGCTTCGTTGAAGGCTTTTATAATACATAGAATACATTGTGTACAATTGAAGTCAGAAAGAAAGAGTGCATCTCAAGTTTATTTGGTTGATGATGATAATTTAAAAAATTGTAAATAAATGGAAAAATGTCAGTAAACTCATAAAATGTAGCAAATTAATTTATATGTCTAAAGGCGGTCTTAATTAGTCAATGAATCTTGTTTCCTTGGATAACCACTCTCACTCGAACTAAATATATATGTCATGTATAGACCATATTTGATATGTTGTTTATTTCGATACACTAGTGAAAGTACAAATAAAAAGTCGGTGGTTGCACAGCTATAGAATGCTCGCCGACCATGCATGTGGCCCCAGGTTCAATCCCCGGCCACAGACGCACTCCTTCACCTCTCCAAATCAGTAATAAGACTGGTAAAGAGGGAAGGTTGGGTACATGAGGCTAGCAACCTGATCCCGTAAAAACAAATACCACTGCTACCGAAACTTCAAGCCTCTAGCTTGAAGTCCAATGTTCCACTGGGGACGTAAAGGAATATAAAAAAGATCAAATGACACAATAGTTCATATATGTGTAAAACTTGAGCATTGTGGTAGTATGTAATTCCATATTAGTTTGTTTATTAGATATATCACATACAGTGAAACAGTATTATTTACTAGATGACAAAGTTTCGAAAACTGATTATTGTTCATAATCATTTCATCACCTATATTCATACAACTTCGAAACTTTAGTTTTATAGTTTTCTTTGTTCTTTCCAATTTGTCGTACGGGGAGTAGAATTTTCCAGATATCTGGGATAGGTGTTGAAGCATTCCTATTACACGTGTTTGCAGTTGATTCGATAGATAAAGCTTCCGTTATCATATTGGTAGAACGGGGTCAGTCAGACTAGGCGAACACAAAATCTAGGCCAAATCCTGATTAATTTTCAAGTATTGGTTTTTTAGAGATTTTGTTTGATTAGTTGGAGGATTTCGTTATGGGCTGATATGGGTTAGAGAAACATTAGAAAACCACCAGGGAGTACTGGATAGCTATTCTGTCAGTCTAGTTTTGGGCTCTTCAGCAGTGTACACCCCTCGCCAGGGGTCGAAGTCGGGACCTTCTGGTTACAAGGCTAGTGAGCTCGTAGACCGTTAAGCCAGTGGAACCCGATCCAATGACCCGCCCATGAATTCTAACTTCCACCAATTCATGGCATAGCGTAACCACCTCGCAATGTCTTCTTCGATGGATCGGGTCCAGTGGCTTAGTGGTCGTCAGCGAGCTCGCCTTGTAACCAAAAGGTCCCGACTTCGACCCCTGGTGGTGCCTGCGTACTGCTGAAGCAGAGTCCCAAACTAGGCTGACGAAATAGCTGTCCAGTACTCCCAGCTGGTTTTCCA